ACCACATGCTTTGTCTTTCCATGTCCCATTTTCCAACGTTTTCACCTAAGGTTTTATTCCTGTAACGATAGCAAGCAACGGTTGGCTGGGACTTAATGGGGAAACTTGTACTTCAAATGTTGAACACAAAAACACAAAAAATCCGGACTAGTCAGACCGTCAGACTCAAGAATCAAATGTTTAAAGGCACAGGTGCTTTGAATATTTCTTTGACGTAGACAGTTTTGGATCTTCGCAACGGGTTCCGAACTGCATGAGGTTCCCGCAGTAGCTGTCGTTCATCATATATCATATGCGGGGCGCATGGCATGCTTCACATCGCTGTCCTGCACTACTCGATGCGATCGCAGGTGTCCTGAAGATTTCTCTGGCCAGAGCATTATTGGAGTGGACGAAACTGCTTGCAGCACGAGGTTTTCTCGGTAGCTGTCCTTCATCATGTGCGGGGCACATGAAATTCTCTTCCAGCAGATGTACTACATTACTACATTACTACATTACTCGATGCGATAAGTAGGCAAAGACTTAAAAGTCGAGCTGCACCGTCGCTGTGAAAACTCTATGATGCCGCGTCTGCTTTAAAACACTTCGTCTCTGTTTTAAAGCACGTCTGTTAATCCTGCTCCTGTGAATCGGGATGTCGGGGCGGACGGAAGAGCAATGTTGCGGTGGAGGTGGTGGTGGTGAGGGGGGGGAAGTGGAGGGGGGGAAGGTGTCCTGGGAAGTTGAGTTCATGTTGGAAGACCTCTCCCCGCCCCCTGTTTATAAGCAAGCGCCTGGTTTATAAACAACCCTCTGAATCCAAACAAGTTAACTTCACAAATAATCTTACAGAGAATCAGTACAAAAAAGGAAATGTTTTCCGCAAACAAATAAAGCAGCCTGAACAACTATTCAAAAAGAAACCTTACAGATGAGAAGATACTGCCCTGGAGCCTGCTCGTCCCACAAAGATTATCATACTCTATGTAAAATAGCTAAACTGCAAAAACGCAGGCCCCAGGACAGTCCCTGCTGTTCCTATAAGTGTCATGCCAATGTCATAGTTCTGGACCCAAACAGTGGCGGGGCACACGAGCTTGCAACTTTTGTTGTAGGTGACGACAAAGGAAACTTTCGGAGAAACAATGTTGCCAAAATGACCATCTTCCAATTGATGTCAAAAGTACCTGGGATTCTTGTCGGAGGTCCCATGAAGGGTCATGAAGTTCTAATTTTGTTTTGCACATATCGTAGTTCGGGCAATGTTTGTGTTTGCCGTTTCAACCAGTATGTGGCTTGGACGGCCGATAACGACGGGAACATGCTTGTGTTTTCACTTCAGCCACTTCTGTTCGTGAATGTGGGCTGCCATCGAAACGCTGAGAGGTCAAGACTGACACGAGCCCAGCTGTTGCACATTCGTGCCTGACACGCTGGGTTTTGTGCATGACACAGCTTGATGGTGCAATATCATAAGTTTCTGCTTTCCGCCGGCGGCTTCGAGGAGAGAGGTTTGCATTGAGGCCAGTGCTGCGGTTCAGACCAGGAGCAACTCATCATGGCCGCAGAAGCTGGTGTTGCAGCTGCCTCTGCGGCTGCTGTTGGTTTCGGACTTTTCGATTACAATCGCCGGAGACTTATCTGTCGAATAGAGTTTCCGGCCGCTTCGTACCATGTAAGCAAGACGTGCATGGTTCTGGCTGAGCGGTTGCTGCGCATGCATGGTGATTACGATGTTTGACCGGTTCACCGGATGCCGTTGCCACAGATAGGTTGCGTATGTGGTCGCGATTTGGCAGTTTCGTGTTTGCTCTGGATCCGCAGGTGCCAACTACTTATACGATGCAGAGTTTCGGTTTGAGAGGCATGCTCCGCCGGACAACGGTTGTGACGAAGCAAAGTAGCGGAAAGTGCTTAGTCTCTGTTCTTTCACTTTTCCGCCGGAATGCGCTGATCATGGGAGCGATGTACTTCGCGAAGCATCGAGCCGTGCGGGTTCTCCATTTTGATGTGCTGGAGAGCTTGACATGGCTGTGTCAGGCTGTGCGAAACCTTATCTTGGAAGACTCAATGCCGAGACATGCAGCATTCTCTGCGCTCGATAAACATGGCGCGCAGGTTCAGCACAGGGCGCGAATATGCTGTGGAGCAGTCCAACCAGAGACTTGGATGCATGCTGTTCTGGAGAGGATGTGCTATACAGGCTGAGTCCTCTACGAAAAAAGCTGGACCCGAGCGGTGTGTTGTTGGACGTTTAGGCCGCATTTGCATATGTTGAGGTTCCGAAACGACTTGAGAACCCTGTCAGCTCTGACGATGGTGAAGAACAACCAGTATGCTGTGGCCTCTGCACGCTTGCACCGTGTTTGCGCAGTACGATATACCAGGTTTATCACGCTAAGGACGACGCTCGAATCTGACATAGACCAACTGTGCCAGGGCCTGGCCGCTCTGGACATGGCGCTGTGCATTGCGCTGTATTGCTGATGTCTCAGGGCACAGTCGCTGCACAGCCGTTGCTCAAGCCACAAGTTCCGAGGCGCTGGAAGACTGGGTCTGCATGGTCCTTCTCCTCCTGGTTGGATTATGGCGTCATCCCGGCTAGATTGCATTGGAGTCTTCGAAGGAACAATCCCGCCGACATTGATGACACTGTTCACTTGTGCTGGCTCACATTGCGTTCCTGGACTCTCAAAGGCTCTGGCTCACCAGCAATGCAGCCTCGTTTGGTGGCCTGACTGCATGTACGGGCAGGGACTGCTCTGTTCTTTCTTCTGAGTCCACATTCCAAGATTTTGTGAACGTGTACTGTGTGTCGCTGCCCAGCTTTCATGGCCCTGGCGATCCTGCTGGCGTTGCATGCATCCTACCGCGCACAGGCTTGCTGTGCATTCAGCAAAAGCATAGCTGTCGCTACGTCACATCCAGAAGGAGCAACTTACTGCAAATTTTGTCCTTTTACTAAGTAAACTGCTTGGAAGGGCGACTGTTGGGTGGAAGTGGAAGTGAGTTGAATGTGTGCGTAAGATACATCCTTGATGGCAACATCTTGCCTTGGGGAAAGGAAACAGTTCCGGCTGTTGCACTAGCAAAACCAAGATTCAATTGTTTCGCTTTTTCCGCCCGAGATTCGACTTTAATTGCATTTGTGGTTTGTGCAAAGTCGCACCAGCGAACGCTTTTTGAGTATGACGTTGGAGTAAGATTGTATCACATGGGCACGTGTTAGAGCCGTGTGTAGTGAAGGAGGCAGCTATGAAGGAGGCGTTTGCTGTGAATGTCTTGCTGCAGTGAACAAGAACGGAGGCATTCCATTCAGTTCGAGCCACTCTTCGTACACCATCTTATGGGCATCTCAACGGGAGCAGGGATGTAATCAATAACTCTAACCTGTCCATCTCGGAGGCTTGAACGTGCACAGTCTAGCACACTGTGTGTCTTCTCTGTCTCCCGGATCACGTGGCAATGTGTCCCGTGAATCCATGTCAGTGGCCTTGGAATAGGGTTCCCAAGAGAAGCTTACTGCGCGATCAGCTTATGATGTGGGTGTGAATAGGACATTGGGGCTTTCTGTCCGTTCACATCTTGCAACTGGACGATGTTCATCGAATGAGGACTTTCAGCTCTTTTCTACGCTCTTTCGGACTCACATCAAGTACGCAACCGGAAGATGCCGCTTCAGAACGGTATGCTCAATGAATACTTGGATTGTGCTAGAAGTTGTCGGAAATCAGGAGTAAGTCATAATCACCTTCGACATTGTGCTGCATTTTCGCAGTCTCTTACCGAGGATGCAATACCAACCTTTTTTGGGCGTGTGTCATATCAGGGGGTGCTGTGCTTCGTTCTGGGCATCGGGCAAGGATCTGGAATAAGTCCAATATGTCATCAGACAAACCAGAGGGAGAGAAACGTATTGGGGGTTATATACACCTAGACACGTTTACTTTGATCAGATATTAATTAATACCCCACAGACACACGTATGCACATGCATAGGTCCATATATATATATATGTGTGTGTGTATACACAAATACCCAAAGGTGGATCGCCAGAGCTTTTCATGTGGTGAGGGGCATGATCCCATGGGCGCCCACATGTAGTAGGTTTTCCACTTGCAGAGTGCCCAGGCGTTTGTTCTTACTTTGCATGGGTTCACATAAACAGTTGTGCCCTGCTGTACGTCAATACATCAGTTTCAATATACATAGGTGGGATCTAGGAGAGATGTACATTCCAAGCGTGTACTGTGCATATGTGTGCACTATGCATTTGCGTGCATGTGCCTATGTATGCAGGCCTGTGTGCTTGCGTAATGTACGCATCTATGTATGAGGTAGTAGCAAGGAGGTAGGCAGGTTGGTCTGTGGGCAGCTTGGTACATAGTGACTAAACCGGTGTTTAGGCAGGCGAGAGATATGTTGAGCCTCCCTCAAAGCCTATCATGGTCGCATGTAGCTGACTGCATCCGGACAGTTTCTTCATGGAAGACTGGGGTCGACACCAGGCAGCTTCGGTGAATTTGCTGACCCGCAAGATTCGCGTGCCGGTCCCTTCCATCCGACACCTGGACAAGGCTGCTCTTCACCATTCGGTATTTGCGGCTGCACTTTTGTAGCTTCGATTCTGCAGCTGCTTCCAGGCGAGGCGATTCAGTTCTGAGTTTGAGCAACAGCAGTGGAGCGACTGGATCGCAAATCGTGTTGTCGGAGAGATAGCTGGAAGAACTTGCAGCAATGCTCTGATGCGTGTGGTTTGTTGAGCCGAGGCGACATCCTCCGTGTCCCCTACCTCACAAATCCGGGTGTGCCAAAAACAGACGAGACGCCTGAAGCCAAGAAGAACATTTGAAGAAGACGAAGACCATCTTGTCGGCTTATTTCAACGGCTGTGTCAGCACGCGGCCATATAGCACAACAGCAGCGCTGAATACTTTAATTTGAGTGAGCCGTACGTGGTGATGCAAGAGACCCGTTATCGGTTTTGCCATCAGTTGAGTAGCATATGCATTGGCTGAGACGCCTGTGGCGCATCGACGTCAGGTCTGCCAACATCGCGGGTTCCGCAAGCCGGGCTCGGTCCGTGCGGTGCCCGTGTTCAACACATAGAGTTGCAGCATCACCAGCAATCAGAACTCTGACATCTTCCCGAGTCGACGCTCTGCTCCGGTGATTTCAGGCTTTGGAAGTTGCAAATTGGTAGGTCAGTTTGAAATGCCGTGTCCTCCTAATGGCAACGATCCTTTGCAGAGGCTACCTGTTGGAACAGCGGTTCGCCCTGTGTTGAGCCATGGCCTTTGCCAGAGCAGGGCTGGCACACGTCGGGCGACGAGCTCGGCCCGTCACATCAGCTGCTGGAGCTGGGGCGAAGGCGACCGGCGTGCTTGTATGCTCTGTTTGGTATAGTGAAGCAACGACATTCTGACATTGTGTCGAAGAAGCGTCCCTGCCTATCAGTTGCATGCCGCCAACGCGCCCTCCCATGTCGCTGGCTCCACCACGCCGTTTGCAGACTTGAAGCACAAGCCGCTGACTCACACCGTGCATGCTGGCAGGCCCACTGCTTCCGTCCCTGTCTGATTTGGTTCTCGTTCGAAGCATGCACTGCCCATGCTGTTGGTCTGAGACGTGTCATCCGGCATCTAGCAGCCCTCCCAGATCTGGTGTTTTTGTTTGTGCGCACGATGGCCAGGGCCCGGGCAATCAACTTGGCCGCTGGAGCAGCGGCACTGCCGCTGGAGGTCCTCGAGCGAGCCAGCGCCGAGTTCGTGGAGACAGACCACAGTGGCATGAGCCTCTTGGCTTGGGCATCCACGGATGTGACAGCTTCAGTTTCCCTTGGCAGCCCTCGTGGGAGGCGTCGCTGAAATGGGCTATCGCACTAAGCCGTTCCATAGAATCATGGAGCGCGCGGAGAGCTCCTTCCGAGAGCTTCTCAGCATCCCCGACACGCACGAGGTCGCAAGCCGAGACTTGCATTACGACTCAGAAGCTGCATTTGCCATGCGATGGAGGTGCACTTCTTCAACGGCGGCGCCACACTCCAGTTCTCTGCCATTCCTCTGAACCTGTTAGGCAGACCTGAGACCGCCGTGCTGTGCGCTTTCTGCATGCATAAATGACTCGATGGCTGTGAAGGCGGCCGAAATGATGGCAAGCCTGCGACCTTTCCTCAGGTATGCGTCGCTTCTCCTCACTCTCACCTCTTCGACATCATCGAAGTCTTTTGATTCACAGAGTGTGCGTTGCTACCAAGGAATTACTTGATGAGTGGTCATTGGAGTGAAAAAGCTAGCAACGAAGCCCGGCTTTTCGGTGACGTGAAGGAAGTGGCAGAGGATCCCAAAGGCCGGTACTTTACCAAGCAGCATCGTCGCCATACAGCAGCGAATGCAGATTTAGCGTCAGTTCTCCGCAGCCTGGACAGGACTTTACTTCGACATTCCGGATAGCTGCTTGCCTGCTTCATGCGGTTTTCGAGGGTCTTGCAAGTGGATGGATGCGCGGCAAATCAAACAGTATCGGCAAACGCATAGCAGCCGCGCGACTCAGGTAAGACATGGAATTTTGATAGAGATGCAGCATACTTCCACTACACGTCGGCCGACACCCGACAGGGCCTTGAAATCCGAAACTTCGATTTCGATGCTATTCCAAAAGGTGCCATCCTTAGGTCACCCTTTGTTGCCTCAGCTGTCGGCCGAAGTTCTTCGAAGTTCATATCCCAAAAGTCGATGCTTCATGGTAGGCATGCCTGTGTGCTGTGATGCATCGGTGTCCTGGATGCAGCAGAACGTGGAGTCGCCTTTCGTTTTACTAGCAATTGCAGTGTTGAAGGCGAATCTGGGCAGCGCGCCCATTGACGTCTCCAAGTGTGGGCCTGGGTTAGCCGTGCAGCAACGAGAGCATTCTTCTGCCACACACGTCTCGTATTTGGTGTCTGAGGTACGGAGTTCTCTATGCCGCTTCGCACAAAAACTTCTCCACCGCCGGTGTATGCTACAGTATCATACGGCGGGCGCCGATCTCAGTTCTCGAGAGACCGAGAAGCGCATATCACATCTCTTGGAGTGAGCATCACGCTGCCCAAAAAAGGACTTGATCAGCGAGGAAACTCAGATGAGGGCAATTCCTACTATGTGTAATTGGGTCAAGTTCCAGAACGCGCCAAACAAAATATACAATGTGCCGGTGCTCGTTTCTATATGGAGCCTTCTTTGAAGTTATTATGTCTCAAGGTCGCTGAAGCAACGTCGTCTGCCCATCAAGTGCTTGGCCCTGAGGATTGGCGCCTTGAACACAGAGTGGATGATTGAGCGCGGCGGTGTTGCAGCTTTCGAAGAACTTGCAATTCAGCGCTCTCAGCTACTCTATGCGCCTTGCCTGAAAATCGGACATTAAAGGTGGTGCTCTGGAGAGAATACAAGTCTTCGCAACGTGTGCGATGTCGTAAGATCCAAACGTGCCTTGCCACTGACAACAACGTAGATCGATGTCGTTGCGCCAACGTAGCTTGTTATTATGCCGGTCCACGGGTCTGTTTCTGCGTGCGTTCATGACGCGCTTCAACAAAGCGCGCTCCTTGCGACGTTTCTGCAAGGATGTCATTGATAACTCCAATGGCTTCTATAGAACCTTCGTAGACAGCGAGGCTGGCGGCCTCAAGTTTGTCACTTCTTGATAGCTGTGGTGTATGCCGCTGCGAGCTGCGGAGAGGCCTTCAGGTCTCGCATGCAAGTCGTGTTCACGATTGGAAGCGGTGCCGGCAACGATCACGATCTGGTGGAGAGACATGCTTGCAAAGTTACCAGACCAAAGCAAGCTGATATGTTTGATGTGAAGATGTTGTCTGCTCACCAGGAAGTTCCTGCAAAGGGCAAATGACGAGCTTGGCTGGTTGGATATTCGCTCCCACCCGTTGGGGACACCTTCCGATGCCATCAGGGTCACATTGCAAAAAGTTCTTCTGACACCGCCAGCTCAGAGCTCGGCTATGACAGGTGACCATGTACAACCACCAGACGCTTGAGACGATCAAGGCGCCGCTGCATTCGTCCCACTCACTTGTCTCTCAATCCTGTTCACAGCCACTCTAGCTGTTGTACAACAAGAATCTCTGAGCTTCCAGCTCGTTTCACTCAAGATGTGCGTGCTCATGCATTACACACCCATTCGATCGCGCTCTCCACCACCTGACCGAGCTTCCTCATGGAATTCCGATTGCCTACTGCACTTGTCACGACCAACAGCTCGTGCCCCACTTTTCACGCGCTCACCGTTTTCTCTCTTGTGTGTGCTGTTTTCAGAATGCATCATGCGTCACACAGGACTTGTCTTGACACTTCCTCGTGTTCGCTGCACCAGTATCCAAGGAATTGTGGCAGACGTGCTCCCGTTTATCGGTTCTCCAAAACCGGTGTGTAGCTGCTAGTGGGTGCCTTGCTTCCCGCTGCTGTAGACCGTAGGTTGACATCTCAACACAGAAAACGAAGAGTACTGCAGCCTGCGTCAACTGATGGTTAACTAACTGTGCCGAGTGAGGTGGTGCGCGAGTTCATGCACATGTTCCAGTTCCTTGGTCGACGAGAGACAGGCGGAACATGCAGGTCAGAAGCGTCAGTAGAAAGACTCTGGTTCCAATGGGGACTGTAGCTTCCGCTCTTGAGAAGGCGAGATCTGTCAGAACTGTCTTAGAAGCCGGCCCAGAGCCACTAAATCACTGAGGCAAGAGCATGCTTCAAGCGGGGACTACAGATCCTTCCTGGCAGGGCAGGAGTCCTCACAAAGCAGCAGATGAGATACATCGGCAGCTCGTAACACGTGTTTGTCGTGACCTCGAACGTTCTGGTTTTTCTCGGACCCACCTGGGATGCCCAGTCTTGAGAGATGGAAATCAGTTCTTTCATGCTTTTGCCCTTCACGGGTTTGTGCAACTGTTGGCCAGGAGACAAAGCCTTTTGCCTCGCTCTAAACAAAGGCGGGAGCACAGTCGCGCGCTGGATTGGTTGTGCTTTCTGTTGCTGTTAGGAGCGACGTGCTGTGTGTCTTGGATGCAACAAGCCTCGCAACTCTCGTGTTCGTGCTCACCTACTGAGTGGAGGTGGCTTACCATCACTTGATTTGGAGCAACACGTGTCTATCTCTTGTGGCATTTCAGCCAAGTTTTTGTGAGATCGATGGCTATGCTAGCTTTTTGACCTATGTGCCAAGAGGAGCAGCATTTCAGGTTCGGCAATACATAGCATTGGATCTCCTTGAGGTCGCTACAGGCCGATGCACTGCCAAGTTGGAATCATAAACGATGGCGTATGGCATGCTTTCTTGCTGGGTATGCTTAGCTGCTCGTGCATAGGTGGACCTCTTGCCGTGCTCAGCCTGTAGCTGTAGGTAGTAGCGCAGCTCCAGTGCAGCATTGACTGGAGTCGAGAAATTGCAAGCAAGCATGAAGCTGGCGACAGGAGCCGCACCGTGATAAGCTGCGCTTTTTGCATAGGTTTGGCTTGCGGAGCCATGCCTGACCACTTTTCGCTCAAAGAGCTTGCCATAGAGTTTCTTCAGGCCTCTGGAGCTGCAAAGCTTCCAGGCCTTGAAACTGTCAAAGCTGCGGGTGAGCATGGGGCCTCGCAGTTCCCTGACCGGCCTTGTTCCGGCTTTCTCGAAACAGCCTCTGCTCCGTTGCGGTTCCCGTTGTGCCGTTTGCCGTTTCCTTTGTTGAACTTGGCCGCTGCTGACGGCTGAGGCCTCTCCGGGCCGCCGGAGCCGCTCGACGAAGGCCTCCTCCTGGATCCGCGAGGCGCGCACGAGCGAAAGACTCTCAACAGTGAGGTGCGAGGTGTGTTCCTGCAAGAAGTGCTCGAGCGCTCAGGAGTTCGAGACGGACCAAGCAGGTACGGTCACAGGCACCATGCAGCCAGCCGCGGGCTCCGGTCCCGTCACTGTTCACATGTCTGGAGGGAGTCTCGGATGGGCTCAGGGCGGTCTGCTACCTGCAGACTCCGCACCGGAACACTTCCGCCTTTATGCAGCAGTCCAGAAGGAGTGGTTTCAGCCAGGCCCCCAGAGAGTGAGAGGTGTCATTCGACGTGTTGCTGGTTCACAGATTGGATGCTTTTTCGACGACTATGCCGAGGTATGACATCTATGCGAGAGTCTGCATGCTCCTGGGCTTCTCTGCCTTTGTGCAGTCTCTTGCCTTCTACGGCCCAAGCCCCGGCACCATGGTGCGAGCGGAGCTAGCAGAGCGGAGTCGCCATTGCCACATACTAAAACCAAGGCAACGGCCACATTATCGTTGAACTGCGCGCTTTCTACGTGGCTCACGCGACTGCATTTGTGATTGAGGCCAGCAGCAAACTCAAGCGTGGCTCGCCGGGTCTTTGCTTTTTTGAGAGGTCCTGCACGTCCTCCTCCTTCGCTTCGACATCATTCAGGGTCGTGTGAAGTGCCCCTAATTCGCTTAAGGCCAAGTGCCGTGCACAAACAATCATTGCTGAAAAGTGCAGACCGTCGAAAATCCGCGCCAGTGCCAGGTCCACGGACCGAACTCCTGCGTGGTTTCTGTGGCTGGGTCCTGTCTCGGTGGCCTTTGCAACTGTGGGCCGCGAACTTAGCATGCTGAAGAAGGAATCGTTGCTCCATGCCATGCTCCCCACAAGGCCCTGACAGTCAATGACCAAGGAATGTCCCTGGACTTTCGAACCCAGTTCAATATCGTGGCCATCGTATTCACCTGGACTGCCCCACATGCTTTTGATAATAGTTGGTAGCCACGGGCTTGTGTTGATCATACGTACAAGGGTGAAGTTTTGAGCTTCGTCAGAGGCTTGCGATTGAAGGCAGCTTGCGAAACCCGGGAGCTGCGTTACTCCAAGCTGCTAATGTTATCGATCACGCGGTACCGACTCTCAGTTCACGTAGGACATGGAGTCATTCCGTTTCGCTCCGTAATGGAATGATTGTACTAGCATACTCCTTCAAGGGGAGAATAGCATGGCTCCTTTTTTTAGGCGAGGACAGACCAAGAACGACCAATAAATCTCGTCCAAGGCCAGCAACCAAAAAATGAGAGTACCCCCCCCCTACTTGGTGCTATCATCATCACTCCTCTTCATGTAAAACCTCATATAGGCAGGTCACTGTAGCCACCTGGAATGTGGAAGTTCTCAAGGAAGTGGCGAAGTGTGATCAAATATTCCTTTGTGCAAAAAGCAAAAACTAAGGTCAACTCCAGCCATAGCTTTTGCAAATCCGGCTGGGAAGTCAGTTCGCCCGCCAGTAAACACCACGGAGTAGGCTTCCTTGTTTCTTCCTTCATCCGCCCTTTACTAACTTTCTTGCCCACTCTCCTCGCATATGCGAGCTCACGCTTAGTCTCCTCCCACAGCCTGTCACGATCCCAAGCCGGGTCGAAGCAAAGCGTTTTGGGAGAATAGCTCGCATCTCTTTATCATCAGCGACTTCAAAGCCCGCCTCTCCCAGGATATGGCTAGAGACTCATGTTTGGCGCAGGCGCCAAGCTCGCACTGTGGAGAACTGGTGGTTCGCTTCGATCATATCTTACACACTACCTCAATGTCGGAGTCCTGTACTTATAAAGGCTCCATGTTTCAACAAATGGTCAATACCAGACACCTCCTTCTTCATGGTACTATTTCCTGCAAGTATCCAGAACGTCTTCCTGCGGCTCAGGAAGATAAGCTCGGTCATTTTCAACTACAAGCTCGTTGTAAGTCACTGGAGCATGACATCCTTTCCCTCACAAATAACCAATATCCTGATCCTCAAACCTCCACAAATCTTCTGGTTCCTGCCCTAACAACCGTGTTGCCTCTCCTCACAACCCAGCCGGTTGGGGCTTTCCCAGAACCCTCCCAGGATACACACTGGGAACTCTCGTATGGTCCAGTACGTGCGTGCTATACCGGGGAACTCACGGCTCTCGTTGAACTCTGCGATTACCTTCTTTACCGTGCTAATCTCCCTTCTTTCAGATATAACAATCGACACTGACTCCGAATATGCGCTCCGTCAGATTTTGGGAGACTCTCTTCCCAATACACACCAACAATTGGTTGCCTTGGCGCAACAATGCAACACTGCGCTCTGCAGTCTGCACTGCGTTACTCTCAAAAAAGTCGTGGGACACTCCGATGTCCTTGGCGATGAAATAGCTGATTCTCTCGCCAAAAAGGGCGTCGCGGAATATGGCTCCCATGGCCGCTTCTCCTTTCTGCGCACAGCTGCGCTCTCTCCGCCTGAAATTGGGTACTCTTCGGAAGCGTGGCTTTCCCTTTCTCTTGACGCCCAGAGAGACCTCATCAATACTCACTCCCCCTCATCTCAACACTCCCTGTTTCTCCGAAAAAGCCATGGATCTCTCCCTCTACTCTCGAATGTATTTCTCTCTGTTCCAGAATAAGACTGATCTCACGATCCTGGAGGTCAAGCAACATCTTCACAAAAATAAAAGAAGGCTCGAGGAGACAAGAAGCAACTCATCCTCAATCACCTCCAGGAGGATTTTCATGGCTCAGCTATCCAGCGATGGCGCACCCACCGTGCGCTCCCTGTGCAAAGATTTTCGACCCACTCCTTCTAGTCTCCTCGATACTACGGGCAAGCTAATCGCTCGCCACACTAGAGCCGAAACCTTTGCAGATTATCCGGCCAATCAGTTCTGGAAGGCTCCCATCTCCTGAAGTGCTTCCCTCCTCTCCACACGTAGATCCTCTTCCTCAATCAGCGCACCCATTTGCCGTGGAAGAAGTTGACATAGCCCAGGCCCCGACAAAATCCCCGCCAAACTCCTTCAAGGAGCTTCTTATGTATTTAGTCTGTGTCTTTTGGATCACTACAATCACTGCTTCCCGCCAGTTGGTTGCATTCTGAAGTTGTGATGCTCGTCAAGGACCATCACTAGACTTTTATTTAATTATCGCCCCATTTCCCTGACCAATACGATGTGCAAAATCCATGCCTCCCTTATACGAAACAGATTCGCCACTTACTTTGACCACCGGCTCCGCCGCACTCAATTCGGCTTTCGTTCCGGCCGCTCCGTCACGGCTTCGTGAAGTTCACGAGCGCCAATTGGACCTTTTCAGGCCGTTTTTCTCGATTGGGCTGGGGCCTTTGATTCCATTACCTTTCCTGCCATAGCTCTGGAGTATATGGGAGTACCGTTTTCTCTCCGACAGGCTATCATATCCCTACATCAGAACTCAGAACCCCACAGGTATAGTCAGAGACAGCAAGCAATCCTCCCCTAAATCCACTCAATCACGGGGCCTTCGACAAGGCTGCCCCCTCTCCCCCATCTCTTCAGCTTTGTTTGGACGCATCTTTTCGAAGACGTGGTGCGACTCCACGCATGGCCTCACCTGCGGGGTACACGGTTCTGTTCGAACTCTTCCTACCAGGTTGAACGCTTCCTTCAACTAGTACAGCGAGAAGGAGCCCGCCGCGGCCTCTATTTCAACCACGATAAGTGTGATCATCTGCGTTTGAATTCGGCAAATCGTATCTCTTTTGACCCGCTCTTTGTTTATCACCAGTTGAAGACTTACATATGCCCTCTCCGATGCAGTGAAGTATCTCGGGGTCTATCTTTACCCTCGTTCCAATAACCATAAACATGTTTCTGCCCGAATTTCTAGAGCTATGGAAGCCTGGAAGAAACTGTCTCCCTTGCTGAAACATGGACTTCTCCCTCCCAACTGGAAACTACTTGCTTACAGATCTGTTGTCCAGTCTATTTTGATGTATGCCATGGACAGGGATTACCAGATGAGTTCTATTCATCTCAAAATCCTGCGTCGCATTTTTAAGATCAAGTCCTCCTATTATCATCGGGTACTTAATTGACCCTACCGCAGCTCAGTGTTCCAACCAGTATCTTGCAGATTTGGCTTTTTCCTCTCGACGAGTTATTTCTCCTCGGCAGCCTATCACCACACAAGAGGCCCGAATAGAGTGGGCCGCCTTAAGGCGCACTGAACAGAATCCTGCCTCGTGGAGGTTTCGCAACGAATAGACCATCTCCGGTCTAATGCGCCGCCAGCACACTGTCACATTGCCTATGAGGTTTTCTCTACTTCCATCGCCTTGGAGATATGTCATATACATTCCTCCCACTCTATCGTGCGGATGGATAACATTCTGCTCTACGGTAAAGTCTCAAGTGTTGCCAGAAATAGAGCCTCTTGGACTTTGGTTATTAACAAACCTAGCCGCAAAACCTTAAAGCATCTCTGAAGGTGCAGACATGACCAACAGTTGGGCGCAAAAAAATGAGCAATTGAATTCTCGGACAGTTTTTGCAGCATATGTCGAGGATGACAAGCCAGCCGGGTTCCTGCAATATCACAGAAGCAATTTGCTGAACAGTAGTAAAGCTTTGCGGGGGAATGGATACGTGATGTAAAGCCGCCAGTACACCGTGTCGTCGTAGCAGTCTGGCATGATGGCATCTGCCACAACAGAAGCCCTGTATCTTGACTCCCAGCAACAGAGCTGATCAGAGCACAGGGCTCTGTGTGCTTGCAACCCCTAGATATTGGAGCGGGTGTGCTGGTGCGCTTGTTGCGCATGATGCGTTGCGATGCAGCATGGCCGGGCAGGATCTGCATCTTCGGCGCTTACATCTGCCAGCAGCCGACTCATTTGCACCCACGGTTACTAGATAAGCTTTTCGAGATGTTGCAGCACACAAGGGCGGGCGTCTGAAACCGTCGTGCAAGGAGTGCTCAAACTCTGCTGTGCTGCAGTGCCTTGCAGGTTCTGCTATCAGCTCCGCATTCTAGAAGTGATTCTGCCGGATGATGTCCGCAACCCGCTGAAGTGCGCCTCAGAAGCCAGCGCGCACGGCAGAATCCAGAAAGAAATCGTGAGATGCGATGCCAGGTTGGAGGAAAACATCGGTGACGCCTGGTGGCCGGCCTCATGGCGCTGCCCGTCTGCCTTCGCGCCTGCCTGGCATGGCCTTAGCGTCTCGAGAGTGTCAACAAGCAAAGCTGCTGGGGGGGAAGGCATGTCCTGTACTTTGTGGCGCCGCCTGGCCGGCTCCAACCCGGGCAGTTCGATCTGGTGCGCGAGGCACCACGTCCCAGGAGGTCCAAGGAGTCGCAGCATCTGCATCTGGAAAGGTGAAGAATGGGCCGCAGAACGACGCTTTCGAGAGTGCGGGAGTGGCGGGGCTTGAGTCGAAGCCTGTCGATACCAGCGGTCGCCTCGAGAAGTTTCAAACGATGTGTGAGATGCGATTTGTGATCTCAATTTCTGGTGTCGTTTTTGGGTTAGGCGATGCGTCGGCCAATCCCGGCATGACGGCGGAGGAGATCGCAGCCCAGGCAGGATATACATCAAGCTGCAGACGCCAACCAATCTGCACAACGAATCCTGCTCGCTCGAAGAACTGTGAACGGAGATGCACTGCAAGACCTTGGTCGTGCATGGAAGTGTGAAGTTCTCTGCCATCAAGTATCCCTGTGACTGCATGTGCCAGGTTCAATATCTTGACAGACTCTTCGACTACTTCATGTCCGAGCCTTATAGTGGATCACTACTGCACTTCTTCCAGTCTTCTTCGTAAACTGTCTGAACCGGGACACGAGAAGCCTGGCGGGGTAAACTCGTGAATTCAGGCGCAATCGCTTCTCTGTGCCCCCTCCGTCCTGCCGGTTCGATTCAGGCGAGAGTTGGTGGAACCTGCTCAGGTCTGACCAAGTCCACAGCCAGATGTCGGAGTCCAACAGGCAGCGTGTTAAGGCGCAACTGTCGGACGCAAGCTCTATCCTTTTCCAGTATCAGAGACATGGCGCCTGCAGGAGCTGTTTGCAGAGTTTTCAGCGGCGCGCCGCAAGGGTGCTGGCCCAGAGGCTCGTCGGACTCCACTAGCCATATTTCCCCTTTCTGCACAAGAGCTGTCGGCCTCGGGCCAGCAGCAAGACTGTAGCACTTCGCTGTAGAGGGCTGTGCAAGCAGAATCGTGCGTACTGTGCGCAAGACGCACCCCCCCCCCCCCCCCCCCGCGAGCTCCTTGCTTCGCTTGTCCCTCCAAAGCAACAGGCTGTGCGGACTTTCACCGACTGCCTGATTGCCTTGGAGGGTGTTCAAGCCACGGAGGGTCTCATGAAAGAAGGAGGCGGGTCCAGACAGCCATGTCGGACTTTATCTCGGAGTGCCGCTTTCGCTAGATTTCGGGACGGACACCGGCTACACATCGACCGGCAGCTGCCACCTCAGCTCAAGTGTGGCTTTGCTTGTGTTCTGGTGTTCACGCCCCGCTTGCCCCAGGCATGGGCAGCTCGGGCAGTTCTGGCGAAGAAGAGGAGGAGTCGATTAAAGGCACAACCGGTGCGTATCCATGGTTGCTGCCGTTCAAAGAACCTGCCATATGACAGGATACACGTGGGATGGTCGCCGATTGTGGAAAACTGATGCAGCAGCAACTCAGCAGCATGCTTGTTGTCAGAACCAGCTGCTCATGATTTTGCTCCACTAAGTGTGCTTTCTGCGGTTGAGGTGCGCCTGTTTCAGAAGAAAGGAGAGATCGAACCGTGGCGTCTGGCAAGCAGCCCAGCCAGCACTCTTCGATTGATTATCACTGATAACATTGCATGTACGTGTGGGCGCACGTGTGCTTGCATGCCTGGATACAGGGCTGCGCCTAGTGGCAGACAGCTTAAATGGCTTAGCATCATTTTTTGATTAAGTTGGCGAAGAGCAGGCCGTTCTCGGCGGTTTTGCAATCTGCTGCTGAGTTGTACGACGGCAGTGCGGTCGTCGCACTGCCCGCTCCACCAAAATGCACCACTGAAGAAGCTCCACACGAGGAGAAGGTGGCTCTATGCATTTTCACTGCACTTACGCACAAATCCATTCGAGCTAGGGTAAAGCTGCATTTTCCGACACCAGGAGGACAGCAGACATTTCGAAAAGTCACCGGTTTCCACTCTTCGTGGAGAGAGAATTCGCACAAGTCCGTTTCGATTCGTATTTACCTTAGCCGTGGCACCCTCTCATGTACTCGTGTTTGGCAAAGAGGACCCAGGTAAGCATTGTTTGAGATGCAAGCTACGCAAATAATCTATCGGCGAGCTCTGTTGCATTTTTGCGGTGTGTAGGTGTTTGTGTGTGGGTCTGCTATTTGCGTCTCGAAAGAAACCAAAGATGGCTCGCTTCACGTATGAACCGCACATAGGAGACACTGTCGGATCACGTTTGAGATCGTCCGAAAGCGACTGATGGTGACAATGACAGACGTCAACCACTCATGCTGTGGAACATGCGTGTATGCCAGCGGACGTATGCGCATCTCTTGCATGTTGGATATCTATGAGTTCCCACGCAGCTCTCTGCAAGGAAAGTCAGTCAACAGAGGCTAGCTCTCCCTCTCCCTCTCTCGCTCTCTCAATACCCACATTTCTATTCATGTAGGCTGCTGCAGGTTTACGCAGGGGGAAGGGAAGGCACAGGCAGACAGCTAAGCTTCAGCAATTACGACATCCTGTAGCGTGCCGAGCTGAAGCTTTCGCTGTTCATGTGCAGCCATGCCAAACGGCATCGTGAGCAAACATGCCACATCAATGCTGTCTACTCATGTCGTTACACACTGTCACAGGCTGTAAACTTCGACTCTATTCCAGACGCGGCACTGGCTGCTCGCACTGAGATCAACTTGCTTCAACTTGCCATCTGTGGAGCTTGGGCCTTCCTCATCCTCGCTATGGTCGTGGCTTCGCGGCATTTGCTCTCCGGCACCCCTTCAGCTCCTGTTTGTTTGCCGCTTCGAGGTGGACATCTTCCTGGGAGATCAGGGATTGGTGACGGCACCGCACTGGTCCCGACCTCCAATGTCGCGCCTGTCGCTGGAGCCGCACGAGCTTGGAACACCTTTGGGCTTCCCCTGGTATGCAGGCACGGAGGTTCAGGCGGCGGCAAGTCTTGGGGCATCCGCATGTCGTTGTACTGGAGGTGCCAAGCCATGGCTGCCGGAGCAGATGGCCTGGCACGAGGAGCATGCTGCACACAGCCTGTGCATCTGTGTTTTCGACTAGAGACGGACCTGTAGGAAAAGCGTGAAGCATTGAGTGGCTTCATCAGTGCACCGCATTCAGGCGCTGCCATGGCGGAAAGCGACATAAGCCACTGTGCTATGATCACCAGGTCAGGAGGATGGAGGTGGTGGCCACTCGCACATCCATCAGGGCCAAGCACGCCGCTTGAGCGTGCGCCTGAACCACGGACCGGCAGCAACCATGTCGGAAATCGTCCCGTCATGACAAACGAAACTTGCATGCCCGAGGCGCAGATGTCCATGCATCTCCAGCTCGCTCAGCCTTGCGTGATATCTTGGAACTGCTGCCAGGCCAGCCGACTAGTCTTGGTCAGATGAACTGCAAAAAGCTTGAAATGAAACGTGCTTAACATGCGCCCCGTCAAAGGTTCCGAGCCGGCGAAGGAAGTGCCAGTGCAGACCGTGTGGCCGGGATTCTTTGAGCCGCGCATCCTGGCATGTGGACCACATGGCATCGCGGGGAGCTGAGTATTTTCTTTGTTGGGATTGGTGGAAATCCCCAGTTCATCAAGGCTGCGCTGTCACCTCGTGGTGTGGGTGCCCTGGTCCCACCGGCTGTGGCTCACCACCGTGCCTTCGAAGCTGCCCGTCGCTTCCGCCTGTCTGGGTGGGAGCCTGATCCTCTAGGTTCTCCGGGCATTGGATGGTGATGGTGTGGTCTTGCGGGGTGGTTTGGTCGGCCACGGTTTTGTAGTTTGTGGCGAGGTTAACGCACTTGCCTCCGCTGCTGTCTGCGGCCTTCCATCCAGAATCGCAGGCGGAATCTTATAGAATCTTTTGCGAAAAGCATGCGATATCTCTTTTTGAGACTTTGGAGAGGAGCTGATGGTTGTATCTCGCGGTGGGCATGTGGCCACGTGCCCGGATGCCGGAGCAGTGACCCTAGAGCCCTAGCAGAACGACTCGACATCGGGTGGAGGCTCTGTGGAACTTGGGACTTTAGAGGTTTATCTTCGATTGAGGCTTCTCCCTGTGCCGTGCACCATGCCGGCCTTCCCGTGTCGGCAGCACGTGCTGCGGCTGTTGCTTGGCTGCGCCAGGATCTCAGCGTGGACTGCAGGCTTTTGGCTGTGACCGGAAAGGGCATGTGCGACACAGGTGACGAGGCCTCCAAACAGCACCACCTCCACGCTGCCTTCATCGACGAGGCTTCAGGGCTCTGATATCCACGTGCATGACATGAAGGGTGCCTGCCGGCTCTTCCTCGAACTGTGAACTGCTGAAAAAAGTGCTGTGTGGATTGCACATAGAGTGGGTTTTCAGCTGTGGCTATGGCCGTGAATGCTTGAAACCTTGAGCCTCGGGTGAGCTGACTGCATGGAGTCAGGGAGATGATGGGAGAAGCAGGCATCAGCGTGTGGCGTGCGGGGGCACGAGCGCGGTCCAACTGCTTGTCGATTGAAATCATCGGCGGCGCTGCCGATCAACACCATCTCTTCTGTGCGAGAGGGCCCAGTCGCGCACCTTCTGAATCCATTCGGGGCACTAGAAGGACATAAATGAGCCTCTGGCCAGCCCTTCGGTGCCAATCGCATTCTCATCGGGGGCAAGGCACGGAGGACTCCAGCACAAGACCTTTGCGTCTGACGATGGGAAGCCGCCAGATGGCCCAACAAACAGCTCCTGCTCGGCTGTTCTTCGCACTGGTTGATACCACCTTTTCTGCCCTTTCCGCGACTTTTGTGCACTTGGTGTGTGTGTGTGTACACCCTGATTCTAAGCTAAGGGGAATGGACAGGACATTTTTAATTGCTTGAACCTTTCAGAGGCAGGGGGTGCCAGGGGATCGCAGAAGGCTGGCACCAACGAAGACCTTTTTGCTTTCCTGTGATATCCACTTGGCACGCTAAGTCGACATACCTGCCAATGTATGCTCTTGAGATGGCCACACCAGGCTGGCAAGCCGAGGTTTCCGTCGTCATTGTAATCGTTTGTTAGGCTTTCAGGACACTCACTTCAATACCTACAAGATCAATTTTCTTTCCCTCAAGATCTTCCCCAGAACACAATGGAATTCGTCAACTATATGTTGACTTTCAAATCCGTGTGTGGCCTCGTTGCCAACGGCAACACCCGCTTCTGCGGACTACCAGGGCACGTTGTGCGGCCCAATATGGTACCGAAAGAGCCGTACTCCTTCGGGACAGGCTAATGGAGCGTACTGCACTAGATAGTGGCCAGTTTCTCAGGTGATAGGCCTTCTCCGCTCCTACGGGGCCACCAGAACACTGGTGCCCCGATTGACCAGGTGATGGGCTTTCTGGACCAAAAGGTCGTATGGTGACTCTCGAGTCTCATGATGCTCAGTGGGGAGTTTGAATATGAGCGTTGATCAGTGTCAGCTCATGGCATGAAGCAGCATGTCGGCTTGCACTGTTTGCTTTTCTTTCAGTGTAGGCTGCATTCATGGAGCCTGAGCTTGATTCTCCTATTGTCGGCGTTGACATTCTGCAGTGTCCGATTGAAGAGACAGCTTCGCAGCTTCAGAAGTTCCCTTGCCGGATTTCGGATGCCAGGGAATTGACATTCCCGGCTCCCCGCAGGATTGCACAGGACGGAACATTCCTTCTCCGTCTTCTCATTCCAGCACATCCGAAGTTTCTTCTGATGCCAGTGACAAGTCAGTTGAGCTTCGACCTGCAGGACTCGCTGTTGTGCGTATTCCTAAAGGGTCTGTAGGAACTGCTCTTATGGAGAAAAGACGACGGCAGAACATGTTGGGATATGTTGGGTGCTGGTTACCAGGCAGGTGACACCGATGAACCAAATGAAACTTCCGGTGACAGAACAGGCGGCGCTCCGGTCACCAGGCGGAAGTTTCTGGCAGCCAGATGGAGGTGGAAACACCTTTAACTGATGATGCTGCAAATATTTCAATCTTGTATGATTTGGCAGACAGGGCAGTGCTTCTGGCGACTTCTCGCCAAACCCGGCGTACAGCACTTACGCCGTTGACTGTGAATATCAGCACTTTGCAGGCCCAGGCTCCGCCACCACCGCCACCCCCGCCTCCTCCGCCATCAGGTATCAACTGCACACCCGCGTCCCCTCCGGTGTATGCAAGTGATCCTGTCCTTACAGCCAGTAGTCAGGATGTGCATACAGAGCTGACTTTGTCTAGAGCAGTGGGTGGTGCAGTCAGCATTCAGCTCAAAAGTTGGCAGTTTCGAGTTATCCTGAAGGCGGCAGCTCAGCAAGCAATGAACCGCAGCCTACTTTGGATTTCCGAAGACAGGTTCACGACACTTCCAGGTGTCCGATTGGTCCTCAGCAACCACTTCTATGGTGGCAACATTGTGCTGGAAGATGAACCAGCTTTTGACTTCGTTGGCTTTTCGCTTGACGTTCCTGAACGAGTCATCCGGCAATCGCTCGTGCTAAGCCAAGTTCCGGAGCTACTTGTCAGTGGCATTCTAGCACGTGCACATACCATCAAGAAGTGTGCATGTCCTGCAGCCCAAGTACAGGCTGATCTTCTTTATTTGAGGAACCTTGCCATGGAACGTAAGCTTCCTGTGCATAATCGTGCCTTTCCAAAAATTCTGGAACAGGTAACATTGCCGATTCTTGCAGTGCATTGACAAAGACAACTGCATGCCGCTTTCATGTTTAGGTCCGCTTGCCTGTTGACTACTTTCCCACTTTCATTTCTAGGGCGAGGCTCAAGTTATCATCTTTGACTTTGACTTCAGGACTTTCGCTCAGCATGCCGCGAGAAGGAGCCGATAATGAGCCGGCGTCTTCAGACCAAGAACCGCAGCCGATGGACCGCAATGTCATTGCTGATGCTCTTTTTCAGATCTTGCATGAACAAGCAGAAAGGCATGCAGAAGAATCTGATCGCCGCCTCTGCCTTTCAGACGACTCGGTGGAATGTGACCGCGGCTTTCCGCCTTCGTTTGGCTGAGTACATTCAGATCACCACCCGAGAGATTTCTGAATTCAAAGAAAGGGTTCAAAAGCTTGAAGATCAGCTGCAGTCCTGAGTGCAGCAATGGCCCGCCAGTTTTGCAAGAAGATCTTTCTGTGCAAGCGTTTCAGACTCTCACCTTTGCTCGCAGCCGTTTCTTCACGGAGGGAACATTCGCCATCATGCCAGACCGTAGCCACAGCCGCTCTCCGATTCCGGTGGCCTGGAAATGGACATGGAAGGAAGACCGATGGCCAAAATTGGTGATGGGACTGGTTTGAAGTCAGCCGTCAGTGGCTAGAGTCCAAACGACGCCAGCAGCCCCCGCCCGTGTCTTTGCCGACTACTGACATGCCGACTCCTAGTTCAAGAAAGAGAGGACCTCCGTAAGCAACGAGCTCCCTTGATTCTGGGATACATAATTCAGTTTGCAATGCATTCTTAAGAAAGCATGCCATCATGCATCAGAGCCTTTGGTTTTACTCGCACATCATGACATGAAGCGAAAGCCGCGACAGCCCCAGTCAAGGGCACGTGTGTGTGAAAGCGCCTGGACATGGCGAGTTGCCGTCTTAACGAAATCCTTTCCAATGTCATTTCAGTTTGGGGGCATCGGCTCCAGTGACAAGCCTTCCCAACGAAGCCAAGTCACCGGAGTGGATGCAGTGGCTGGTCACCACTGTGTACCTGCCGATTGCATGGCCAGCCCAAAAACACACCAAAATGCGGTTTGTTGCATCAGTTTTTGCCAAGCCTGACTGTGTGTGTGTGTGAGTGTGAGTGTATGTGTGTGTGTGTGTATGCGTCCGCACCCGAACATGGTGACTAGCAACAAAGTTTCGCAAGGCTTGTGCACAATCCAGTCAGACATGTGTCCTTGTCTGGTCCTGCTGTCGGGATGTTGAGCAGTTCGGCAAAAGACCGTAGAATCCACATGGCTCCCTGTTTTCTGTTTAGACTGCAACAGCTCGCCAGCAGCTTGCTTGATTATGTGTCGACTTCCCAAGGCGGCTGAGCCGTAGACTTCCTGCTAGGTATCTGCATGACTCAATGACCTATGGTTGTCTTGTGCTGTAGGATGTTCGTGTTTGGTTGCACGGCTGCAAGTCATCAGTTTTTGACCCTGGGTACGGCAACAACCCAGCGCAGAGTGTTTACTGTCGAGGCGTTGCCTGGATTGGTCGCTGTCTTCAAGCTGCTGGGGAAGGGACAGGCATGTGAGTCTGTAGTGCTCAATGTCAGTAGTGGCACTGTCGTCGTGATCGGTAGAGCAAGTGGCCCTGTGCTTCAGAAGCCTTCCAGGCTTCGACTTGGCATCCGCTCGGGGAGTTCTCGGCACCGTTTTCTGACGAGGTCAAGGAGCCACTCTCTGCAAAGGTGCTCCTTGAAACTGTGCAGAGGCAGTGTGCAACTATGCTGACATAGACAGGTTTCCTTGTCCTTCGCACCGGGTGAGATCGTGCTCACGACAGCTGCCGGAGTTGTCCATCGTCGGCGGTTGCAGGAGCGTCAGCCTTCCGCTCGCGTGCTCGTGACACTGTCTCTGATAGCCTTCCGCTGACAGCTCAGACGCGAAGACTCCTTGTCAAGGATGGCCTTCTGGCGGAGTCCTCGCATCGCTTTGGAGGGGTCTCCACGGTGGTGCAATGGCAGGCGGCCTTTGTGCGGTTGATGCTACGATCATGCTTCGTGTGTGTGTGTGTGCGCGCGCGCGCTTGGATCTGGATGTGGGGCTGCACAGGATGCCTGCCCGATGATGGGTGGAGGCATGGATTGCTATGGGCACTGGCCAGTCTTTTGCTGTGATCGGCTGTCGCTTGTGGCTTCTGCAAATGCATGATGCTTCGCCGTTTGTATTTGGGCTGTTGGCAGTTCCGTAGAGCCGCAGGCCTTGCACATCTTCGCCTCCGTCGCAAGGAGGGATCGCAGGCAGTGCACGTGAATTTCACACCCTGTCTGAACAGCGCTGAACACACGCTAAAAGGCCTGGACACCAGAGCTGCTGACCCAGAAGTTGGAGCACACAGAGGGAAGTGGTTGCCTGAGACCGGAAGCAGACACAAGGCAGACTCAGATGTCGCACGTTGTGTCTTGAAGATTCGTGAAATGTTGGTGCCGCGCTTCGCCTAGACGGGATATGACGGGATGCTGCTTCAGGCTTGAATTTAATTTCATTGGCTTCGTCAAGGGATTGAGCTGATGACTGCAATGGCCCGCTGCCGAAGGTTACCTTCTCCCTGCGAGTTTTGCAAGGTGGCAGACTGCAACATCTATCAACGGCCCAAGAGCACGCGCGATCATTGAAACCCTTCGCCTTTAGCCACAAGTCTGCTATTCAGAGCATCGCCGTCCCAGCGGTAGAACGAGTTTTGAGAACGTTGCTCCGAGGACCTTCGCTATTCCAGTGACGCAGAGGTGGCAGCTGCGTCTCACCCACCGCTGCCATTGGCCGGGACAAAGCAGTTCTTCAGCGAATTCTGCTTGGCATCCAAGTGATTTGGGATTGGAAGCGGCTCGGGTGTTGACAGCATGCAAATTTCTGGCAAAATCGGGATGACAAAGAGCCCTGTGCCAACAAGTTACGCGGACCTTCATTTTTTCGATACCTGGACCAGTTTGCCAGGTCCCGGGCAGTGCTACAACAATGTAGTGGAATCAATATCGTCTGGCAGGTCTAGTTTCAATGGCAGTTCTTCTGCAAGCAACCCTTGCCCAAGGTATTGTGCTCACTCTTTCGAACAACCCCCCCGTGACGGTATGGATGCATTGCCTCTCCGGCCAACGCCTCATCAGAGGCCATCGCTTCGTGAACTGGCATGGAACGCAGAGGTCTGCGATGAGAGAAGATAGATCATATAAGATCTTCGTTCCATCGCAGTTGCGCTGGGTCAAGCTTTCAACTCAGAAGCAAAGGTTGGTTGGAGGAGTTGTAGTTCCACAGTGGCCCGACTGTCCAAGCGTTTCGGTTTTGTTTTGTCAGAGTGCTGAATGGAGAAAGCTGGGTGGCCCCAGGTCGCTGTGTTCTTCTTCAAATAAGGCCCTTCAGGATGTAAGGTCTGTGTGAACTTGCCTGGCAAGACTGCTTCTCACCCAGCTGCACTGACTGAAAACAGGGAATGCTTGCAGACGGCTATGATGCGATATGTTGACTCAGCATTTGTGTTTCGGCCTGACCCCGCCGGAGTGCAGTGAGTGTACTTCTAGACTCCAGACCGTCTAGGGTCTGGATTTTAGAAACTTGCACGCCGGCAAGCGTCGTGGCTGTAAGGGCCGGTCAGCGTGCAAGCAAACGGCAAAAACACAGCCAGCGACAAGGCACTAGAATCCAAGAGTTGCGCACCCCACAGCTCTGTTATCAAGTCCATGAGTAGAGTCTAGATTTTTTGTCGTTTGACATTTCCTTGGCATCGTCATGGCAGCCGAGGCCCCTGAACTCTGCTTCCATGCTGCAGAACTCCCCCAGCGAAACATGACAGGGACCTTGGACGGGCTTCCCCACCCAGTTAAGCTTGTCGGAATGCTGCTGCACCTGCACCCGTTTCTTTCAGGCAATGCGCCGTGTGCGCGGGACCAAAGGCACAGCAAATCATGACGAGACTTTCCAGATCTTTCCAGTGCATGATACAGTATGAGCCGCAAAGTTGGAACATCATTATTCTCAGGCCCTTAAGGTAAAATAGAAGGAACCCTAGCACTAGTTCTTCTGATTCTCTGGGGTTCACTGTACTGGCTCCCTGCGATGCAGGAATGGATGGTGTCTGGTGGACCAAATTTGGGTGCACCCCTCCTGTCAATGTTAACCATGTCACGTGAACACTTGTGTGTATTTTGTGTGGTTCTTCTTGCTTTCCGCCTGCTGTGTTGACAGGGCAGCAACCATGGATTTCAGCCACCAGGCGAAGTGTAATAGAGCAGTGACTGATCGACTGCACGGCGCCGCAATGTATTGCAGACGACAGTTACAAATCCTTCTTCACGTAGCTCGCTTGTGTGCCAGGAGAAGATGCATCCATCAGACACCATTTTCAAGGCCGTGACAACCGCTCTGCTTTTTGCATTTGAGAAGCCATCTGTGCACGACTCCTCGCAGAACGTGGTGGCACACAAAAGATGGGATGCAGAGGCGATGAGGCGCTCAATGTCAGCCGCAGGAGAACTGACAGATTGCTCTATGTCTGCACGGTTGCCCGAAACTGACTCGTACTTGTGGGAAGATGGCGGACAGAATGCTCTCTCCGCTGCAGTCGCCCGGCACCGTCAACTTCCACAGAGCACCTCTCATCCCTGATCAGGTGGGGAGCCAGGAGCAAGACAGCTGACGACTACGAAAATGACAATGACTATGATTCTATGATGATGCTGATGATGACGATGATGACGATAAATGAGAAACTACCACCCTAGCAGC